CCCTAAGCCTCAGTTTCCTCATCTATGAAATGGGGCTGCTGTGAAAAGTAATGAATTAATGTATGTGAAATGCTTAGAGCAGCATCTGGCACATAGTGAATGTGCTGCCATTGTGTTAATATCATTTGAACCCGGAGTCCATACACTGAACTTATTTGTCCTAAAATAAGACAGTCTGAGCACAACCCTCAGCAGGAGACTTGAAGAGGTCTGCTGTCATAGCCGCTCTGCCATATCCCATCCAACCAACAAAGGAGTCCCAGCAAGGGGCCTACCTCTAGAGGGGTGAAGTCATGGTTGACCAAGAACGCCAGGACAGCCGTGGGAATGACGAGGAACTCTACTCTGAATGTGTCATGGTTCCCATCGTAAGTGGCTTTGAACTTGCTGTAAATCATCCAGACCGTGGTAAAGGAGCAGGCTATGTAGACCACCTGAGGGGGTGGATGACGAGAGGACACCTCAGCTCACAGGGCAGGGCCTGTACCCCCAATCGGCTCAGACCCAGGAGTCTGAAAGCCCAGCCCCCTCCTCCCTCAGACACAGGAGCCCAGGCCCCAGCCCCTCTTCCCTCAAACCTGAGAGTGTGGGACCTACACCTGGCTCCCCTGCCCCAGGGCAGCCCAGAGCGGTGGAATAGAGCCCTCACCTTCATACAGGTGTTGTAGAGGGAGATGTAGTTGGTGAAGAGGTCCAGATATCGGGCAGTGAACACCACAGCAAACAGTACCTGGCTCTTCCCTGAAATCCCTGTGGTCCAGAGAAGGAGAGAGAGAGACAGAGCTAGGGTGGGTTGCACGGGCAATAAACTAAGGCACAGTGCCTGGGACCAGCCTGGAGGCGGCTCTGGAGTGCAGCTGTCCCTAGAGGCCTCCCCAGCCCGCCCGCCGGCCTGAGCAGGGCACTTTCCCAGAGCCCACAGCCAGGGGGCAGCCCAGGCCCCCGAAGCTACTCCAGCCCGAGGCTCTGTCCCAGGCTAGGCCTCGCGGCCACCTCTGTCTCCCTGAGAATCCTCCCCGAGTCCAGACCCAAGGTGGGACCTAGGGAGGACCCAACCAGATCTCAGCCCCCCGGGATACGGTCACCTCCCTCCCACTCTCTTCCTGGCCGCCACGGTCCACGTCACCAACTCCCAGCCACCTCCCGCCTGCCATGGCTCCCAGTTCTCAGTCCCTGAACCCTCGGACTGCTAAGACTAGGGCTGTGGAAGGCTGAATTGGGGGCCTTGGGCCACCCTCACTAAACTGTATGCACCCTTCCAGTCTGGGGAAGGAAGCTGACCTCCTGGCGACCCAGGACTTGGAAGAAAGATCCCCCAGCAAGCGGTGGGGGGAGGGACCTGTCCCCCTAGTGTCCTCAGAACCTTTCCTGAGTCCTGGGACGCCCCCCGCCCAAGCAGTCTCTCCCCTTCTCCCGCCCAGGTGGGCCTCTCACCGGCACATGAACGAGACTTCCAGATTTTGAGCAGTAGCAAGATGATGGCTAGGAGGTGGGAGAGGTCTCCCAGGAATCGGAAGAGATTCATGGCTGGGGGCCTCTGGCAGGGCTGAGCGGGAGGGAGGCAGGCTGGCGGGGTTCTGCCCCCGGAGGCTGCTGTTCTGGCCGGGCGGCCGGGCTCGGGGGGCGAAAGAGGGACCCTAGGGTGGGCTCCGCTCCAGGGAGGAGGGGTTTGGGAGGGGGAGCCGAGGCCCAAGCTGGTAGCCGCGCTGGAGCGGGGAAGAGGGAGGAGGGCGGGAGGAGGAGGAGTCCGGGCGGGGAGGCTCCGCCCCTGAGGGCGGGTCCCGGATCTCCGGCGCCCCCTATCGCCCACCTCACGTCTTGCAGAAGCGACGCTGAATGCATCCCCAAGGCTGGGAACTTGCAGGGTCATTGGGTTCTGAAAGTCCCAAATCCGGCACCTGCTCCCCTAGGCAGCCTGTGTCGCTGTAAGGGACCCAGTCCAGCCGCTCAGCCTCTGCCCTTGACAAGGCTTTGGAAAGCTGGCCTCTGAGCTTTAAAAATCCTGGCCAGGCCAGCCGCAGTGGCTCACGCCTGTAATCCTAGCACTTTCAGAGGCCGAGGCGGAAGGACCGCTTAAGCTCAGGAGTTCCAGACCAGCCTGAGCAGGAGTGAGACCCCGTCTCCACTAAAAGTAGAAAAATTATCCGGGCGTGGGGGTGCGCACCTGTAGTTCCAACTACTGAGGAGGCTGAGGCAAGAGGATGGCTTGAGCCCAGGAGTTTGAGGTTTCAGTGAGCTGTGATGATGCCACTGCACTCTAGCCTGAGCGACAGAGTGAGACCCTGTCTCAAAAAGATAAAAATAAAAATAAAAATCCTGGACACGGACCCAGAGGCTAGGCTTCCAGCTTCTGCTCCTCTCAGGGGCCTCCAGCTCCAATCTACCCAAAAGACAAGAAAGCAGCCACCATTACTCCCACCACCTCTAGAACCCTGGCCCCAGCCCCTCCTCCCTCAGACCCAGGAGTCCAGGCTCCCAGCCCTCTCCCCACTCAAGACCCCCTTCCTTGGACCTTACAGTCCCACCCCAACTGTCTTCTACCCCAAGCATCCTAGCCTCAGGAATCTAGAGCCACAATCCCTTCCTTCCTCTAAGACTAGAGCCTTCACCTCTGCCCTCCCAGACCTTGGGGGTGAAGGAAGCAGGAATCCCACCTAGTAGACTCAAGGCAAAAAATTGAACCCAAACTACTTCAGAGAAGCCCATGGACCTGGCTTCAGCCCCTGCTCCAGAACTTCAGAATTTTCCTACACACACACACACACACACACACACACACACACACACTCCCAGCCTCCACCCTCATGGGCCCTGGTGTCCTGTACCACACTCTGCCCCAGAGCTGCCTCAGCAGCTTCTAGAAGTGCTGGGCCTGACCTCTCTAGCAGGAGGGGCAGGAGGGGCAGCTGGCCCTGTGGGACCCTCAGGGGGACAAGCTGTGTCTATGAGGGGAGAGATGCTGCTTTCCTTCTGAGTACTCATGGGTGATAGAGGCTGGGTCCCTCAATAAAAAAGGGGTACAAGGGTTTTGGTTTCCTCAAAGGGGTGGATGGGCTGGGTGCCCAAGGGTGGGTCTTGGGTCCTAGAAGGTGATTTGTGCTGGGGGAGGGGGAGGATGCCTGAATTCCAAAAGGGACTCAGGCTTAAAGGGGAGGCCCCGGATTCCTGGGTCCCAGTGGAAAAGGGACTCCTGGACTCCCAGGTCTCAAGGAGAAGTGGCTGGGGGCCCAGACCCCCGGGTCTGAGGGAGGAGAGGGCTGGGGGCCTGGATCCCCAGGTCTGAGGGAGGAGGGGGCTGGGGCCCCAGACCCTCAGGTCTGAGGGAGGAGGCGCTGGTGGTCCCCAATCTGAGTCTGAGGGAAGACCGGCTAGGGCCGGGACTCCCAAGTCCATGATAGAGACCGGTATGCAGGCCTAGCCTTCTGGGGCAATAGAAGCCAGATGATGGGTCTTGGCATGGCGGACACTGAAGTCAGGGAAAGGCCTCCTGCTTCCCCAGCCTCAAATGGGGAGGGGGCAAAGGGCAGCAACTCCCAGCCCTAGAGTCTAGGTCTGAGGCTAGTGTCTCCATACCAGGTTCTGAGTCCCTGCCGACCCCCGACACACACACACTTCTTCCTCTCGTTTCATTTTCAGCCCCTCGCTCCCCTGTCCCAGGAGGAAGGCAGAGGCCGGTAGCTGGGGGTGGGGGGCGGCCCCCTCCCCCAGCCCTAGCAGGAGGAGGGGTCCCCAGGGAGGCCAGGAGGGGGGGCTGTGGGTCTCCCAGCAGGGGCGGACGGACGGGGACTGAATGTTAATCGCATCCCCAGTGAGTGTGTGTGTGAGAACAGAGCGAGTGTGCGAGTCCCTCCCGCTCCGGCTCCTCCAAGCCGCGGCCGTGGCCGCCGCCGCCGCCACCCGCACCCGCAGCCTCCCGCAGCCTGCCTCGGCCACCAGTGCCCAGCTGGGGGGTGTTGGCCTGGGTGGGTCCGCCCGGCCCCCAGGGGTCTCTCGTGCATCTGCCATCTGCCCGGTGAGGATCTGTGTGTCCGGGTGAGTGGGGCTGGCTGGTGGAGGGGGGGGTGTGTCTGTAAGGGCTGCGGCGGCCGCGGGAGGGAGGGGTCTGTCTGTCTGTACCGACCCTGAGCCGCCTGCCTGGGTGTCGTGGGCCCCCCAGTCCTCCCCCTCAGCCCCGCCAAACCCGGATGGATGGTGTGTACCTGGGTTCTGTGTCTCCTGCCTGCGGCCAGGCATCTGGGCGTCCCCGGCTGCCTGTGTCCTCCTGTCTGTCTGAACAGCCTCTGCTGGCAGTGGTAGCCTGGCCCCCATTGGACCCCCCTGTGTGTGTGTGTGTGTGTGTGTGTGTTTCCCTCCTCAAGCTCCGGGGGTGTTGAGGGGGAATCCCAGGGAAGTGAGGCTGTGCGTGTGTGTGCGTGTGTGTGTTTCTGCCTGTGTTTGTGAGTGGGGGCGTCGAGGGGGGGTCTGGAGGTGGCCCAGCAAGGAAGGGGCAAGCAGTTCCCCAGACAGGCGATCTCCCGCTCCTCACACAAACACACACATCAGCCACCGGCTTCAGAGGTGACCCAGACAGACAGACAGACAGACACAGACGCTGGAGGGGGGCTGAGGGCACAAAGGGGGGTTGCGAATGAGCCAGGCAGAGGCGGGACCGGACACATGGAAACGGGGGAGGAGCCGGGGCTGAAGCGGCAGAGGGGGGCACCCCAGGTGGGCGGAGGGGGGATCCCCACGGGGTCGGGGTGGCAAGAGGACACCCCAACAGCCTCCGCAATGTCCGGGGCCCAACTTCCAGCGCAACATGTGTAGCCGTGTCCTCGCCTAGTCCAGGTGGCCGCAACCTTGGGGGACAGACAGGGCAGGACAGGACCAAGGAAGAGGAAGGAGAGACGGAGCCAGAGACGGGCAGGAGGTCCCCGCTGTGCGCCGCTGCCACTGCCACCGCCCCGGGGCCTGACCCCCCTATTGGCTCCCTGAGCTCTCCGCGGAATCTTGGGGTCGCTGGACGCCAGGTTCCAGTCCTGGCCCCCCTGCAATCCCCCCAACAGAACAGGGTCATGAAAAGGTAAGGCCGGCGAAGGGATGCAGGGGTGGGGGCGGGAATGTAGACCCCGAAATCTAGGACAGGGAAAGTTGGCCAGGGGGCCTCATGGAGGGAGCGGGGTTGAATGGTGGGCAGGGGTCTTTGCTCCCTCCCAGCTTCCCTGTCCTAAGGGACTCTCCTCTGCCCTCTCTCCTTCTCCCTCTCTGAGCCCCTTTTTCCTGGGTCTCTACACCTCAGACCTCTTAAGCCCCCCATTTCTCTGACACTTTGCTGCCTCTCTCCAGCCCCACGTACCTGACACCCCATGTCTCTCTCTGCCCCTCCATCTCGCCATCTCACCTTCTCTCTGCACCCCCTTTCCCCGCAGCAGTTTCCCCCACCACCGGCCAGCCCTCTCCCTCTCTCCTCTCGCTCTCCCCTCCCATCTCAGAGCTATGAGTCTGCTATTAATACCCCTGACAAGGACCTTGAGGGCATCCAGGCCCCCAGCACCCTTCGCCCAAGCTGCCAGCCCTTCCCCAAGGTTCTGAAATACCCTCCCGGCCTCCTCCAAGCCCAGGGATTAGGGTGGGGAGAGACCGTGTTGTGTGTGTTGGGGGGGTGGGGGGAAATGGGATGCCGTCTGCAGCGCGACTCGAGGTGGGGGAGCTGTTGATCAAAGTGGCCTCTCCTCCCTTCTGTGATGGATTGGGGAGAGCGATGGAGACAGGGACACCCCAGGAATCTCTGGCACCCTCCTCCTCAGCTTGGGGCAAGCTATGCTGTGTACAGGAGTGGGGTGACTGGGGAGGCTGGAGCTGGGGGAGCAGCCAGGATGTTGGGATTGATGGGGTTTGAGACAAAAAGGAGGTCCTTAAGGGAGGGGAGGGCTGGGAACCCAGATTTCTGGGTCTTGGGGGAAGAGGGGAACCAGGGACCTGGGCTCTTGCTCCTGTCATAGAGAAGGCTGGGCACTTGAATTCCCAAGTCTTAGGGCAGGAGGGGGCTGGGACTCTTGGGTCCTGGGAGAGAACAGAGCTGAACGCCTGGACTCCAGAGCCCTGGGGGAGGAAGGAGCTGATGGCAGGACTCCTGCGTCTTTATGGGAGAAGTTGGAGGATAGGGCTTCTGTGTCTGAGGGAGGAGGGGGCTGGGGGCTCAGTCTCCTGAGTCTGGGCAGGGGACGGGGGTCCGGACTTTTTAACCTCTGTGTAGGTGACATGAGCAGGTGGAGACAGGAGCCCGGTCTCTGTGATCCCTGAGGGTGTGGGTTCTGGAGACTGGGCCTCCAGAGCCCCGGAGGACTGGAGCTGCCGCTTCTCGGTCCCTGGAGGGGTGGGGGACCGCACTCCCAAATCCCTGTGGGAGAGGACTGGGCATCCAGCCTCCTGAGAAGGGTGGGGCTGGAGGCTGTCCTCCTGGGACTCAGCAGGGAGCAGGATCCTGGGGTCCCCAAGGGCAGAGGCCAGGCAGGGGTGGGTCTGAGAGAGGCAGAGGAGGGGCTGGGGGGTGAGCAGCCACCAGGAAGGGAGGGGAGAGTGAGAGTTAACCCCGCGGGGACCAGGCCACAGCTGTGGGTTATTTTGGGGTGGAGGGGGGGTTATTCTGAGCACTGATTGAGCCAGCTGCTTGGGGAAGGGCAATGGAGAGGAGGGGCGAAGAGGAGCCAGGATTGGGGAGGGATGGGCATGCTAGGAGCCCCCACCCCCTTCCCAGGGGAGACAGCGGCCCAGGATCTCTGGGGGGGAGGGGTGGAGACCTCTGGGCAGGGGAGAGGGTGTGGGCCTTTTCCCCACCCTGGCTGTCTGTGGGGTGGATGAGGCCTGTGCTACCATGGCAACCGGACAGGAGACTGACTGACAAGCCAAGAGAGAACCCGTCCCTGCCTGGACCCTCACCCCTTTAGGAAGCCCCTAGCACAGGCTCCAGTCCCTCTCTGCGAACCAGGAGCCCAGACCCCCCAGTGCCCTCCTCCCTCAGACCCAGGCAGAACCCAGGAGCCTGGGCTCCCAGCCCAACCACCCCGGGCAGCAAGTATTCAACAGGGGGCACAGGAAGGGATGAGATGCTGTATTTCCTCTAATTTACTAAATTGCTCCGGGCTGGGTGCCAGGGACCCCCCTCCCAGCTCTCCACAGCTGTGCCCCCAACCCTGCATCCCAGCCTAGGCCATGCCTCTCTTTCTCACTCTCATTGAGAATGTGGGGGACAGGGACAGGAGTAAAGGGACAAAAATGGGTTGGGGGTTGTGGTCGGGGTGAGGGGTATGGTCGTGGTGGCACTTTCTCTCCTCGGGGTACCCCACTAATTTCTCCTCCTCTTTCTTTCTCTCTCCCCACACACCTGACCCCTTTTCCCTCTCTCATTTTTTTTCTCCCTCTTTCTCCTTTTTATTTTTGCTCCCTCCTGTCACTTGCCTTCCCTGCCTTCCTTTCATGTCTGTGCTGGGCACCTCCCTGGTGGGGGTCTCGATCTTTGCCTTGCCTCGCTATTTCTGTCTTCCTGTGTTTTCTCTCTGCTCTGCCTGCCTCCCTCAATCTCAATTCTGTTTCCCCATCTCTCATGTGTGCGTGTCTCTTGGTGGCCGTGGGGTCTGTCTCCCTCTTCCTGGTTTTCTTTCCATCTTCCTCTCTAACTTTCTTGTCTCTCTTATCTCTCCCGTCTCCCTGCGTCCATCTCTGCATCCCTCCTCACTCTGCCGTTCTCTCCCTGGGTCTCCCTCGCTCCCTATTTCTGTCACACTGTCTTCTCTCTTTCCCTCTTCTCCCTGTCTCTGTTCCTCCTTCCATCTCTCATTCCTGCCCATCTTCCCCCGACCACCTCTCTGTTGCTGTTTTCATCTCCCCTCCTATCTCCCTGCTCCTATTTTGATCCCATCTCTGTGGGTCTCTCCCATCGGTCTCATTGTTGTCCCATCCCTACCCTACCTATCTCTTTCCCTCTTTCTCTCTCCTCACCTCTGTATCTTCCCCTGACTCCATCGCCCATCCCTGTCTCTGTCTCCCCCATACTCCACTTCTCCCTATTTCTCCCTATCTGTGTCTCTCCCTCTTTCACCCCCCACACCTCTCCCTATGTATTTGGTGTCTCTTCCCCACCTCTCCCTTCCACCTCCCCCCACTGTGTCTCTCCCTCTGCCTGTGTGTCTCCCCTTCCGTGTCTGTCTCCATCACCCCAACCTTTCCCCCTCCTCTCTCCCCCGTATCTCCTCTTCCGTGCATCTCTTTCAACATCTTGTCTCCCTGTCTCTGCGTCTCCCCGTCTGTGTCTGTCTGTGCTCTCTGTTCCTGCCTCTCCTGCCGTGTCTCTCCCGGGTCCCGGCGCTCAGAGGCCGCCCGGCGGGGCCCGCAGGCGATGCGCGGTGCCGGTGGCCCCCGCGGCCCTCGGGGCCCCGCTAAGATGTTGCTGCTGCTGGCGCTGGCCTGCGCCAGCCCGTTCCCGGAGGAGGCGCCGGGGCCGGGCGGGGCCGGCGGGCCCGGCGGGGTCCCCGGGGGGGCGCGGCCGCTCAACGTGGCGCTGGTGTTCTCGGGGCCGGCGTACGCGGCCGAGGCGGCGCGCCTGGGGCCGGCCGTGGCAGCGGCCGTGCGCAGCCCGGGCCTGGACGTGAGGCCCGTGGCGCTGGTGCTCAACGGCTCGGACCCGCGCAGCCTCGTGCTGCAGCTCTGCGACCTGCTGTCGGGGCTGCGCGTGCACGGCGTTGTCTTCGAGGACGACTCGCGCGCGCCCGCCGTCGCGCCCATCCTCGACTTCCTGTCGGCGCAGACCTCGCTGCCCATCGTGGCCGTGCACGGCGGCGCCGCGCTCGTGCTCACGCCCAAGGTGCGCGCGACCAGCGGGCGGGGCGGGGCCGGTCGCTGGGGGCGGGGTCTGGGGAGCTCTGAGGGGTGTGGCCTTGGAAGGGGCGGGGACAGTTCTGTGGGTCAGCATCTGGGACGACGTGGGGCCAGGTGGTAGGGGTTAGGTCTAGGTAAGAGGCAGGGCTTACACGGAGGGGCGTGGCCTATAGGACAAGCGGGGTCTTCGGGAGAGTCACCTAGAAGCAGGGTTAGAGAGGCCAGTCGTCGATGATCAGGGTATGGGGAGGACGTGGGCCCAGTCATTGCAGGTGAGGGACTGCGGGAAAGGCGAGCGAGGGGCGGGGATTGGGGACGAAAAGGGAGCAGCCCAAGATGGCAAAATATGAGGGAGAGGTGGGTCTGGGATCAGCGAGGGGAGAAGTCAGCTGGAAAGGAACGGGATTCAGAAAAGGGCTAAGTCTAGTGGAAAGGTGGGAGCCAGGCAGGGACAGGGACTAGGAGAGAGGGGTATCCAGTACTGAAGGTCAGGGTCTCGGGAGAGGCTCGGCCCGCCGAGCATAGGGTCTAGAGGGCCGAGTGGGAGGGCGGAGCCATCCTTTGAGAGGAGGAGCCTGAGATGGGGCGGGGCCTATTCAGGGGAGGAGCCGGTGGGACAGAGGTTGCGCTCGCTGGAGGACAGAGCCACCTGTGTGGGTGAAGCCTGAGTCTGCCAATTCCCTGCTGTGGGGCCTGTGGCTTTGTGACTGGATCACTATTGTAGTTCTGTCCAGAACGTTCTGGGAAGGACCTCTCTGTCCAGCTTTCTTGTTCTCATTGGCATGGTGCTGTCCAGAGATTTGTGGAGAGATTACCTGGCAGGTGAACTTATTTATTTCCTGGCTGCCACCTTCGTGGCATACTCAGAGATGTGGTCCCTAGTGCCTACATTGCTGCTGGGAAGTACAGTCCACTCTTTTTCATTGTCTGCAGGGCACTGTGGTCTGCTCAGTGTACACCCATACCTTCTGGGAAATGTCCCTTCACTGTCCCTGAATATAAGAAAGAATGGTCTTCACAGCTCCATCTGTGTCCCATTGAATGCTGGGAACATGATCCCCTCAGCACACCTCCACCTGCTGAAGGATGAGGACCTCTTGGAGTTCTCAATTCAAGCTTGGAGATCTCATCCCCTCAAGACAACTGTCCTGTCCCCTGAACATATAACCATAGACACATGCTTAAGGAGGAAGTCCACTTGCCGTTCTCATTGCATTACGGGAAGATTTATTGAGGGCTGATTCTGTGCCAGGGCTGTTTTAAGTTCTCAAGAATACAGTTCTGGGGGTAAAAAAAGACACAGTCCCTGCCTTATGGAGCTTGTATTCTAATGGGGAGACAGACAAAACAAGTAACAGTAAAATCTGTCCTGGAGGAAATTGACAGGAGGGGGCTTCAATAGATGACAGTCAGGGGAGAAGGTGACACCTGAGCTGGACCTGAGGAATGAGGAGGGGTAGATCCAGCATGGAGGAGTTGGGGAAAAGTATCCCCAGGAAAGGCAACAGCTAAGGGCAAAGCCCTTGTAGCAGGAAGGAGCTTTCCATGCTTTAGGAAGACCAAGGAAGGAGTGTGGCTGCCACCGACCTGGGGGTTGGGGTGGTGGGAGATGAGGTCAGAGAAGCAACAGGGGCCAGTTCATGCAGGGCCTTGTAGGCCAGGGCGAAGACTTTGGCTTTGATTCTGAGGTAGAATCATTGGAAGGGTTTCAACCAAGAAGGGATGTGATCCAATTAATATTTTGAAACGATCGCTCTGGCTGCTATTTGGAGAATGGACTGGAAGATTGCAAGGTTGGAAGCAGAGATGGGTTGGAAAGCCATAGATGTCTAGGCAAGAAAGTGGTGACGATGAGGGTTGAGGCAGTGACTGCAGTGAGGAATGGACAAAAGGAGTTATGTTTGAACATAAAGCCAAGAAGATTTGGGGATAGCTAGATGTGGGTGTGAGGGAAAGAGAGGGAAAGGCTGATTTAGGTTTGGGGCCTATGCATCAGGATGAATAAGGGAAAGACGAAAGGGAGCAGGTTTGAGAGAGGCAGGGAAAGATCCAGTGTTCTGGTTTTGACATGCTAATTTTGAGATGCCTCTTGGAAATCCAAAGGGAGAAATTGAATAAAAGGGAAGATAGGTTTGTCTAGAGCTCACAGGAGAGGTTGTGACTGAGGACAGGCACCATTGGCATCTCCAGTGCTGTCCAACAGAACTTTCTGCAGTGATGAAGGTTGTCTATATTTGCTCTGTCTAATATGATAGCCACCGCTTCATGTGGCTGTTGAATGCTTGACGTGTGGTTAGTGCAACCAGAGAAGTAAATGTCAAATTTTATTTAATTTTAATTAATTTAAAACTGAATAGCTATGTGTGGCTCATGGCTGCCATATTGGATAGTGCGCAAAACAGTATTTAAACCAATGGGTCTGGATGAGATCACCAGGGAGAGGACAGATAAGAAAAGAGAACATTAAAGCACTGCTATAATGCATTCAGAATTTGGGCTGCGGAAGAGGTTCCAGCCAAAGAGACAGAGGAAGGGACAGGGAGGTAGGAGGAAAACCAAAGAAGGGAAAGTCCACTCAGCAAAGCTCTATCTTCCAGTTGGGGGAGTACCTACCCTCATTGCATGCTGGGAGATGTAGTCTCCCTCACTATATAGAGAACAGGTCCCTCTCAGTGCATGCTGGGGGCTGTAGTTCCCTCCCTGGATGCTGAGAGTATTGATGACAGTGATGATTAGCTACTGTAACAGATAAACCTCCAAATCTCACTGGCTCAACCTGATAGAAAGTTATTCCTCATTTACATAAGATTCAAACAAGGCTGAGCACTGTGGCTCATGCCTGTAATCCCAACATTTTGGGGGGCCGAGGTGGGAGGATCACTTGAGCCTGGGGGTTCAAGACCAGCCTGGGCAACATAGCAAGACCCCGTCTCTACAAAAAATTTTAAAAATTAGCCAGGTGCGATGGTGCACACCTGTATTCCTAGCTACTCAGGAGGCTGAGGCAGGAAGGATCACTTGAACCCTGGAGTTCAAGGCTTCAGTGAGCTATGATTGCTCCACTGCACTCCAGCCTGGGCAACGGAGTGAGACCTAGTCTCTAAAAAATAAAAAAATAAAAGATAAATAAAATCCAAACAGATGTTTCTGATTCAAGGTGGCTCTTATCCATGTGGTGACTCAGGGACTCAGGCTCCTTCCCTCTTGTGGCTCTGCAATCCCCTAGGACTTCAGAGTTCTCTTCTGGGGCTTCTACATTTGCCCTCAGACAGGGAAGAGAGCAAGGTTTATGGGGAAGAGTTTTAATGGGTGAGCCTGGAAGACTCAATCAGGTAGCTGAACCTAACCCCAGATCTAGCCCTGTGCCCCAGGAGGTAAAAGAGACAGGGTTAGCGAACAGCTCGCTAGGAGATGCGTCCCCACGTCAGGAGGCCTAACATCCTCCTCCCTCCCCGGCAGGAGAAGGGCTCCACCTTCCTGCAGCTGGGCTCCTCCACCGAGCAACAGCTTCAGGTCATCTTTGAGGTGCTGGAGGAGTACGACTGGACGTCCTTTGTAGCGGTGACCACGCGTGCCCCCGGCCATCGCGCCTTCCTATCCTACATAGAGGTGCTGACTGACGGCAGCCTGGTGGGCTGGGAGCACCGCGGAGCACTGACGCTGGACCCCGGGGCTGGCGAGGCCGTGCTGAGCGCCCAGCTCCGCAGCGTCAGTGCGCAGATCCGCCTGCTCTTCTGCGCTCGTGAGGAGGCCGAGCCTGTGTTCCGGGCAGCCGAGGAGGCTGGCCTCACTGGGCCTGGCTACGTCTGGTTTATGGTGGGGCCCCAGCTGGCTGGAGGCGGGGGCTCTGGGGCCCCTGGTGAGCCCCCTCTTCTGCCAGGAGGCGCCCCCCTGCCTTCTGGGCTGTTTGCAGTGCGCTCAGCTGGCTGGCGGGATGACTTGGCCCGGCGTGTGGCAGCTGGTGTGGCCGTAGTGGCCAGAGGTGCCCAGGCCCTGCTGCGTGACTATGGTTTCCTGCCTGAGCTTGGCCATGACTGTCGCGCCCAGAACCGCACCCACCGTGGGGAGAGTCTGCACAGGTGAGTGGGGCTGGGATGTGGGGAGGGGTGTGGAGGGCTTCCAGAGCCTGACTGCCTGGAGAACTCACTGGCCGAGTGGCCTCAAATGGGTGGCATCCCGTCTTCAAGCCTCAGTTTTCTTTTCTGTAAAATGGGAGTAATTAGATCTCTTTTCTGAGGTTAAATCAGGTAATTTGGAAAAAGCCCCTGAGACTCAGTGAGTGTATTAGTCTATTTCATGACTCTAAGATGCATAATTTTAATGTCTTTGAAATCAAGATGTGTCGTATAATTAATAGCTTATCGTGGTTTAATTGGAAGCACTTTTTCTTTCTTTGTGGTACATAAAAATGGCGGTACATCTTATAATAGATAGATTATGTGATCTTAGATTCTGTGAAATACCTACTTAGAATATGAGCTGAGTTTCTGTAGCAAGAAAGACTCAACCATCCAGTGGCCCAAATGAGGAAAAGTTTGTTCCTCTCTCACATAACACCCTAGAGATGAGCAGTCTCACTTGTCAGGAGGTTGCTGCTCCGTGTGACCATTCAGGGACCCAGGATCCTCCCACCCTGCTGCTCTGGCATCTCTGCGCAGTGGAAGCTGGGTCATGGTCCTGTCTGAATTGTAGCTCATGAGAACAGGGAAAGAGAGGAAATGGAGAGCAATTTTCTTTTGATTATGTGAGGCAGAAGGGCGACATCTCACACCCTATTGTTGAGAACATAGTCACACGGTTAGTGCTGATTTACTGGTTGTTTACAGTGGCGTCCATTCTGATTGGCTAGTGCCTGTGCTGTACCGATTGCTGAATATTTGAATATCGCTCCTGCTCATGGCCCGGGCGAGCTGCAAGGAAGGCTGAGAAATGTCGACCCTGGCTGGACAGCCGTGTACCCGGCTTACATGTCGTTATTTTAGAAGAGAAGAACAGAGTCTGGTGGAAAACAGCGTCTCCACCATGGGAAGCTTTGGGAGTGGGGAAACTGATGAGTTTGGTGACAGAACAGTGTGGCAGGAGAGGCCTTTAATCCTGAATGAGGATGAAGTGAGTTTGGGAGGAAGTGATGGGCAGGGAAGGAGACCTCAGAGAGGAGAATCGAGAACTGGTGAGTTGGGAATCAGGATCCCAGAACAAGAGGGCGAGAAAAGAATCCCTTGCTCATAAATACTTACTGAGCGCCCGCTAGGAACTAGGGCTCATGCTGGGCGCTGGGAACACAGGGATGAATAAGACCGTGACTTACTCTTCAAAGAGCGCAGGGTCCTGTAGGGCCGGCAGACAGGGATGGGGATAATGACGACGCTGCGTGATGCTCGCAGTAATGGAGGGAGCACGGACACTGTGGGGGCGCCAGGGAGTACTGTCTAAGCCAGGACATTTTTGGTTGCAAGGAGAGACTCATTCAAGTTTCCTTGGGGAAGAGGGGGTTTATTGGAAAGACAAACACACATAGAAATTCAGAAGTCAGGAATTGAGGCGAAGCTGGGAGCCAGCTACTCTTTCATCTTTTCATGATTCTGTCTTTCTTACTTCCTGCCCTCTCTCTGTCTCTCTGTCTGTCTTTCTCTCTCTGACTTGCCTCTCCCAGAGGCTGTTCGGTTCTTTACCCAGAATTTGTGCTCCTTCATAATTTCAACCCTTCCTGGCCACCACCCATCCCTCCAGATCTCATAGCAAAACGTCATCCCAAGAGAGAAAATGTACTAGACTTCCAAACCAGGGTACTCAAGTCACAGGTCATAGGTCAGCCTGTGGAGTCTGGAAGGTTTCTAGGAGGAGGAGATATCTGAGACCCAAAGGATTAATTGCTCATTCGTTAGTTTATTCATTGAAAAGCCCTTTATCGAAAATCTACTATATGCCAACCACTGCTTTAGTGTTCGATAAGGTCCCTGCTTTCACAGAACTTACAGTGTAATAGGGGAGAAAGGCAGTGAACAACCAAGAAAAGAAAGAAGAAAACAGCAGTAGCTGATAACTTCTGAGATGAAAATCAAACAGAGGGAGTGGGATAAGAAATGCCTAGGGGGCTTGGCTAGGTGGTCAGGAAAGGCCTTTCTGAGGAGGTGAAATTTGGAGTAAAAAATGGATGAAAAGAAGGAGCCAAGCATTGGAAGATATGAGTAAAGGGAGAGTGAACTGCAGGTTCAAAGGCCCTGGGGCTGGAACTGTCTTGTATTCTGCTTTGTGCTGCTGTAACAGAATACCATAGACTGGGTAATTTATGAGAAACAGAAGTTTATTGGCTCATAGTTCTGGAGGCTGCGATGTCCAATGTCAAAATGTCGGCATCTGGTGAGGGCCTTCTTGCTGCATCATTACATGGCAGAAGGGCAAAGAGAGAAGGGGGAAGAGGGAGGCGAGCCCACTCCCACTATAACAGCTTTAGTCCATTCATGAGGGTGCTGGAGTCCTCATGACTTAAACACCTCTTAAAGGTCCCACTTCCCAATGCTCTCACAATGGCAGTTACATTTCAACATGAGTTTTGGAGGGGACAGACACCCAACCATAGCTTGCCTGTGTGGGAGCCTGAAACGCCAGTGTGGCTGCAGCATAGAGGGCAAGGGGGATAAAGGTATGAATAGGGGACAGAGGGACATGGGGGGCCCAGCTCAGGTAGGGCCTTTAGGCCAGAAGGAGAGGTTTGGACTTGATTCCAGGAACGGTGGGGAGTTCACCAGAAATAGTATTCCAGGCAGGGGGAATAGCATGTGCAAAAGCCCAGAGGGTGCGAAAAACTTGGGCAGATTGGTGGGACCACAATAGTTGAGAGCAGATGAAGGCAGTAGAATTAGGGGCTGGAGGTGATGAGGCTGGGGAGGTGAGTGGCTCCAGGCCTTTGCCTTCAATGCCAGGTTGAGAGGCTTGGACTTCGTTCCAGGGCACTGGCTAGCCAGGGGTGGGCTCTGAGCAGGGGAGGGGTGGAATCAGTTTGGGATGTGGACAGACCCCTCGGGGGCCACTTGGGGTACAGACTGGAAGAGAGAGATGATTGGAGGCTGAAGGCCAAGCAGGAGGCTGGGGTGAGGTCCAGGAGGGCTGTGGGGAGGGAGAGGAGGAGATGGGGCACAGAGAGTCACGCGGCAGGAGGGAGGGGGCGTGGGGACCAATGGCCTGGGTGGGGGAGTGAGGGGTGAGGAAGGCAGCTGAGAGTGCCTGGGTGGTTGATGTGAGAGGCAGTCAGAGCACGGATGATGTTGCATAGAGAAGATATCCGGGAGTCCAGAGACCTCCCAGTGCTTCTTCCCAGCAGAAGGGACATTTGAGCTGAGCCTATAAGACACGTAAGAGTTGGTCAGGATGAGAAGGGGTGGTATAAGGGTTTTCCAGGCAGACAAAACTAGCACCTGCAAAGGCCTAGAGATAGGAACTCACTTGACATGTCTGAGAGATACCTTGCATTCAGTGTTGACAGAGAAATAAAAGGGTTTTTGGGAGGGAAGAATTTGAGGGTGGGAAGGGATCAGAGACAAGGCTTCGGAGGCAGGCGGGGCCAGAACACAAAGGTACTCTAGGTCCTCAACATCAAGCTGAGAGTCTGGGACCTCATCCTGGGGACATTGGCCAGCCAAGGGAAGGGTGCTGAGTAGGGAAGAGGCATATTTGTGTGTTTGAGATCTTGGAGGTGAAGGAGGAGAGATTCCAGCTGGGCGCTGGGGCTGGTCAGTAGAAAGGGGACTTTCTAAGCCTTCAGCTGCCAAGGTCCAGCTGACGTGTCCCCACATGTCCCCCTCCCTTCCTCCTGGGCAGGTACTTCATGAACATTACCTGGGATAACCGGGATTACTCCTTCAATGAGGATGGCTTCCTGGTGAACCCCTCCCTGGTGGTCATCTCCCTCACCAGAGACAGGACGTGGGAGGTGGTGAGTGGTAGCCCAGACTTCAGCCATGGGAGACGGCCTGGGCTCCTGGGTCCTGGCAGAGGAGGGGCCTGAGGTCCAGGAGTCTGAGGGACGAGGGGGCTGGGAGCCTGGACTTCCGGGTCCTGGGGAAAGACAGGTGTGAAGGAGGGAGGGGTTCCTGGGTCCTGGGGGGAGATGGTGCCTACACTCCCAGGTCTGAGGGAGGAGGGACATGGAGGCCAGGACACACTGGACGGTCCCCCCAGGAAAACTGACTCTCCTTCTCTTTGGCCAAGGTGGGCAGCTGGGAGCAGAAGACTCTCCGCCTCAAGTACCCGCTATGGTCCCGCTATGGTCGCTTCCTACAGCCAGTGGATGACACGCAGCACCTCACAGTGGCCACACTCGAGGAGAGGCCCTTTGTCATTGTGGAGCCTGCAGACCCCATCAGTGGCACTTGCATCCGAGACTCCGTCCCCTGCCGGACCCAGCTCAACCGGACCCACAGGTGACAGCCCAAGATCCAGGAGTTCCAGCTTCAAAAGCCTCCGCCCTTGAAGCCTGGTAGTCCTGGCCCCCATCCCTCTCCTGCCTTGGGACCCAGGGCCCACAAAGCCCTCCAGCTTGGCGCGCATAACTCCTTTGGGCCTCAGTTTCCCCAGAAAGGGCTAACCCTAGTTTTAGCTGCTGCCTGTCCCTTCCTCCACACCTTTGTCTCAAGGGAGAGTCTAGGGGAGGGGTCCCCAAACTCCCCAAGCCTGGTTGCTCCCGCAGCCCTCCCCTGGATGCCCCTCGCCCGGAGAAGCGGTGCTGCAAGGGCTTCTGCATCGACATTCTGAAGCGGCTGGCGCACACGATCGGCTTCAGCTACGACCTCTACCTGGTCACCAACGGCAAGCACGGGAAGAAGATCGACGGCGTCTGGAACGGCATGATCGGCGAGGTGAGGCGGGCATGGGGACGGAGGCCTAGAAGCAGGCACCCTGGGGCCGGGGCCGTGGCCAGAGGCAGGGAACGCCTGGCTCGGGGGCGGGGCGGGGACTGGGGCGGGGCGAGAGGGACACGCCTTGGGCCAGGGGACTGAGTCAGGAAGCGATGGGGCGGGGCCAGGAGGAGGACACTTTGGGGGCAGAGGAGGCGGGGCTAGGAGGGCGGAACTCCTAGGGGAAGCGGGTGGGCCCTGGAGGGTCGAGCCTGAGGCCTCAAGAGAACTTGATGGGAGCAGCAGTCGGGGGATGGGGGCTGCCTCTTCCCAATCCTGCTCCCCGTCTCTCCCCTCCACATTTCCCTGCCCCACTCTGGGTCCTCCTCATCCACCCCGCCATCCCTCTTAGCCCTTTCCCATCCAAGTACTAACCGAGCCAGACCCTGCTTAGCTTTGGACATCACATGAGATTGGGGCATTCAGGGTGGCATGGCCAAAAAGGTCCCTCTTTTTCACCCTGTCACTGGCCTCCTCCCGCGGGCTGGTCTTTGCCCGCCTGATCCAGGTCCCCTGACCCACTCCTTGCCCCCACCCCAGGTGTTCTACCAGCGTGCGGACATGGCCATTGGCTCTCTCACCATCAACGAGGAGCGCTCTGAGATCGTGGACTTCTCTGTTCCTTTCGTAGAGACGGGCATCAGCGTCATGGTGGCACGCAGCAACGGCACCGTGTCCCCCTCGGCCTTCCTGGGTGAGCTGGGGCCCTAGGACAGGGAGCCAGACCTAGGGAAAGCTGGAGCAGGCGCCCCCAACCATGCGGGCCCTGGGGTCAGGAAACCTGGGTTCAAATCCCAGTACCATCTGTACTGGCCGTTTTACTCTAGTGAAGTGACATCACTTCTGAGCCTCAGTTTCCTTATTTGTAAGATGGAAGATTGAGCTCAGGAGCCTTCTCTTGCACTGCCTTGCACCTGGTTTTGTATTCATAATATGTTCTTTTTTCTTAAAGAAAGCCCTCCGAATTGCGTAAGCCTCAGGTCCCACAAAACCCAAGTGTCTGTACCTGGGTGTGAGATGAAGAGAATAGATTAGCACAGTACCAGCACATTGCAAGCACCCAAGTCGCCCATCGGTGTTTATTAGGCACCTACTAGGTGCCAGGCCCTGGGCTCCATGCTGGGAGCACAGGTGAATGAGGCAGACACAAATTCCTGCCATCCAGGAGCTCTCAGCCTCATGGTGGGGACAGGAGATAAACCCTTAAAGAGATGCGTGGAGAAGATCACTCAGGTGGTGATAAATATCGTGAGGAACTGAGCCAGGGTGAAGAGCTAGACAGGAATAAGGCTGGTGCAGGTGTGGGTGGGCAGGAGAGGCCCTGTGAGGAGGGAAAAGCATTCCAGGCAGAGGGAACAGCAAGGGCACAGGGCCAAGGCCGGGACGTGTGCGGAGTGTGAAGCAGCTGGAAGCCTGCATGATCGGAGGGGGAGTGAGGGCAGGAGGGCTGAGAGGGAACAGGGCAGATCTTGCAGGGCCTTGGACACAACGGTAGGAAGTTTGGATTTTACTCCTGTTGCAGTGGTAAGGCTTTGACTACGGAAGGTGGCATGGGGATAGATGATCAGATTTATGGTGTCTCTGTGGAAGCAGCAGGCTCGTGAGGAGGCTACTGCAGGGGTCCATGCCAGAGAAAGGATGGGGCGTGCAACAGGAAGGCGGCAGTGGGGGTGAGACAAGTAGACAGACTCAGGGTATGGGCAGGAAGCTGCCACCAGATGGGCTGGTGTCTTCAACGTGGATTGGGTAGAGGTCCCACTTCCTGACCTGGAGAAGACAGAAGTGTACATCAGGCCAAGGGCGACAGTTCACATCAGTTCCTGCTTGCTCTCTGAAGGTCCTGGGAGGCGGGAGGGGCTGGAAGAAGAGACATCCTTCCTTTTGTTCTGTGTTCTGTATATATTTCCCTCCGCAATGCCTCCCGTGGCCTCCTCTGTGCACCGAGGTCTCTGCAGGGCCCACTGAGAAGCACCACGTGGGGTCCCTGCTCTCAGGCAGCACATAGCAGGGGAGTGACAAGGTCTTGTTTATGCCCCACCACGTTGCCCAGCAGAGGTGACAGGCATGACCTCAGATGCCGCAGTGACAGTCCAGGGTGATGACCTTGTTGTGACAGACGCAGTCCTGGCAGCTCATACTTGGCCCTGGGAGGTTGAATCACCTGGTACGAATCTCAAGGAAATGGTGATTTGGGTTTATTGTCAGTGAGCTCCCAGAGGCGACACCCAGTTATTGAATGTGAGGAGGGGGCACATGAATAGAGAGGTTGTCCGATGGACAGGTCAGGGTGGCATCTCTGGCAGGAGAGCTGAGGAGACAAGGCAGAGAGGGTTTGGCTCACGGGGTCAGCTGTGAGTTCCAGTGGCTAACGCCTGGATGCTTGGGAGAGTGATCAGGCCAGAGAGGAGAATGGGACAAGGCGGAGTGGCAGGGACTTTGTCCTGGGGGTGCTTGGGAGCCCTGGGAGGCGGGGCGGGGTCATCTCTGGGCTGTGTGGGCAACGGGCTGGCAGGGAGAGACTGGAGGTCGAGAGTCTGGGGGATGGTCAGGGGAGGAGACAGGGCCTGAGCTGTGCTGGCCGTGAGAATGGAGAGGACAGGCCCACGTAGCATCGGGGCAGGAGCACGGGGCTGGGGACTGACAAGCTGTGGCAGGTGAAAGAGACGGAGTGAGTGAGACTGGCAAATGGGGTTTGGGCCTGCGCCCGAGTGGATGGTGGGGCTCCCAAAACCGGGGGCCTAGGAGCTGGTCTGGGCTCAGCCTGGAACGTGACGAATGGAGGGATGGCCGGGGGAGGTGGAGCCTCGGGTTTGGGGCTCAGGAAACTTTGAGGAGACAGTTTATATTTGGTGGTGGAAACCACAGAAATGGCTGTGATGGCACTCTTTGAGAGACACTGCCTCCCAGGGTGCTGGGTGGGCAAACAGTGCTGTCTCGGAGGTGGGAACCACGGAAATGCACAGACAGGGCGGGGCCAGATCCGGCTGCCCTTCATTCACACATCTTTGGTCGCCCCAATCCTTCGCTTGGCTGAGCTATGACCACACACCACCCTCCTTGTCCCCAGAGCCCTACAGCCCTGCCGTGTGGGTGATGATGTTCGTCATGTGCCTCACCGTGGTCGCCGTCACTGTTTTCATCTTTGAGTACCTCAGTCCCGTGGGCTACAACCGCAGTCTGGCCACGGGCAAGCGTGAGTCCCCTTCCTCAACATCACCCTACCTAAGAGAGACTGGGCCGTGGATAGAACTGCATTTCCCAGCAGCCCCTGGGGTGGAGCTATGATCTCTTAAGGTGGCAGGGGCCCCAGGGACCACTGGGAATTGTAGTTCTTCCTGCTCCCTCCTTGAGCAGAAGGGATTTGGGGTCCATTTCCCTGTCCTGGCCCCCTGCAGGCCCTGGAGGCTCAACCTTCACCATTGGGAAATCCATCTGGCTGCTCTGGGCCCTGGTGTTCAATAACTCGGTGCCTGTGGAGAACCCCCGGGGAACCACCAGCAAAATCATGGTGCTGGTGTGGGCCTTCTTCGCCGTCATCTTCCTCGCCAGCTACACAGCCAACCTGGCCGCCTTCATGATCCAGGAGGAGTATGTGGACACCGTGTCTGGGCTCAGTGACCGCAAGGTGTGTGTGGGGGTTGGGGGGCAGCTAGGGTTGGATGTCACTGAGATCTATATATGGCAGGTCAGAGGGGATTCTTGGGGGGGCGGGCAGGAGGTCTCTTCACAAGAATTCCAGAATGGTAGAATGGAATGTTCTAGAAGGAGAAAGGATATGTTTCACCGTGAACTATTTAAATAGTACCAGGGGAACATGGTGTCCCCAAATGTTCTAGGGGCAGTCCTGCCAAATGGGATATTCTTGACGAGTGCTTCTCTCACTCAAACTGTGATGAAGGACTAATGTTTGAAACTTCTAATTCATTGGAAGCCAATGCTTTTGTAAAGGACAATAGAAATGAATACTAAAAAAGTAAAATAAGATTCAAAACCAAGACATACAAAAGTCAAACGCAAATTTTTATTTATTAGATTCGACAGACATAAAACGATTCCGTCACATTGCTTTAAATGCCCGCTCTCCACGTCTGTACTCACCTCATTGCAATCTCAGTTTGTTCAGTTGGAGGCTAAAGTGGTTAACTCACCAGGTATAGGGTTGAGAAATCAATTCGATGGGTTGCAATAAGCATATATTTTGAGTGGAATATTGTGGAATAGAATAGAAAATATGTTGGTTGCATCTTAGGTAGTAAGAGTGAGGACGGTTTTATGAAATTTTGCCCCTGACATTGAGGCAGCACACACCCATCTGCTACTTCTGTTGTTAAAATAGTTAGCTATTTCTGAATGGATTGGTAAATGGCAACTGCCCCCAACCCCTGCCATGCCAGCCCCTGCGCCAGGGACCTCCCAAGATCCAGCAAGTTAAGGTTTAACGTGTGGCACATCAGCGGCCTCTAAGAGTCTTCTCGTAACCTTTCGGATTCCTGTCTGCAGCTGTGTGTGCTGGGGGGGAGTAGAAAAGTGTTTCCTACTGTGGCGAGCAAATCCGAGAAGCACATGTGGGACTGGGGTGTCTGTCAGATGGCGGGTGTCCCCAGAATGGGACATTTGGGTCAGGATGTCCGCGGGGAGGGTGCCCTAATAACTCCCCATTCTGCCCCAGTTCCAGCGGCCCCAGGAGCAGTACCCGCCCCTGAAGTTTGGGACTGTGCCCAATGGGTCCACGGAGAAAAACATCCGCAGCAACTATCCCGACATGCACAGCTACATGGTGCGCTACAACCAGCCCCGCGTAGAGGAAGCGCTCACTCAGCTCAAGGCAGGGTCAGCGCAGACTTGGGGGCTGGGGATGGGGGCCTGCTGGGGGTCCTCAGGATGTTCAAAGATGGTGAGAGGTCAGGGTTCATCATCAGCCCCAGAGGTCAGCCCAGGGTGGAGCAGCTTGGAGGGCAGAGGTCTTTGAGGGTGGGAGTGGACTCCCCCTTCTAGAAGTAGGGTCCCTGTGATGTTTTCAGGGATGCAGTAGTTACGGATTCTGGGTCCAAACTGCCAGTGCTTAAATCCTGGCTCTGCCCCTTCTTCGCTTTGTGATCTTGAGCAAGTTACTCAACAACTCTGAACCTCTGTTTCTTGTCTGTAAAATGTGGATAACAAGAGCATCCCCATTATAATGATCACAAGGTCATTATAAGAATTAAACTGTTTAATCCATGCAAAACACTTAGAACAGTGCCTGGCACACTGTGGGTGTTTGCTGACATTATTATTTTCATTCTCATATGCTTACACCTGAACTCACTGGAATGAATACTAGGATTATGTTGTTTCTTATTTTTTTAACATCAGTTTCCAAAATCATAGGGTTAAAGTTAAGTTCAGGTCCCCAAAGTGCAGCCCAAGAATACAACAAAGCTAAGCGCAAGAACGCTGTCATTTATTTAGTCCCTCACCATGCATTTCTTTTCTTTTCTTTCTTTTTTTTTCTTCTCCAAAACAGAGTTTATTGCAAGGAATTACAATTCGGGATATTTGTTCTATGGTGGACCATATGCACATCCAAATAGGCTGAGGCAAGGGAAAGGTTTTAAAAACAAAAAATAAAAGGGCGAGTGGGGTGATTCATGGCTATAATCCCAGCATTTTGGGAGGCCAAGCTATTCGGGAGGCTGAGGCAGAGGATCCCTTGAGCCCAGGAGTTCAAGGTTACTGTGAGCTGTGACTGTGCCACTGCACTCCAGCCTGGGCAACAGAGTGAGACCCTGTCTCTAAGAAAAAAAAAAGAGAGAGAGAGAAAGCATTTATTTTCTTATCCCTGCTTTAGCCCAGGCAGTGAACAAATAGACCACAACTCCTGACCTCAGGGGGCTTAGGGTCCAGAAGTGGGAAGTGAACAACATAAACATGAAAACAGAAAAATCAGCAAGACCATTTCAGAAAGTGATGGTGAGCTAGAGCGTGGCTGGGCTGGGATATTTTCGCCAGGGTGTTCAGGGTGGGCTTCTTGAAGGAGGTGACACTGAGCAGAACCCTGAAGGAGCTGAGGGAGCTAGCCTGGTGGATTTATGGAGAAAGCTTTGCAGGCAGAGGGAACGGGTGTGCAAAGGGCCTCAGGCAGGTGTGGTGTTGGTTATTGGAGGAATAGCAGAGGTGGGTGTGGCTGAAGGAAAGAAAGCTGAGGTGAGAGGGTAGATGAGGGGAGGACATGTGGCGTGACCCCTGAGGCCGCAGTCAGGGCTGGACTTTATTCTAAGGGCAGTGAGAAGCCATGGGGAAGGGAGGCTTTAAGTAGTGAAGGGTGTGATCTGATTTCTGTTTTTAAATGCCCCGTCGCTGCCATGTGGAGAACGGATGGAGGGGGGTGTAAGCGGGACCAGTGTGGAGGCCATCATGTCATCTAGATCGCCTGCCCCAAGGCCCACCCTCTGCTCACCCCCCAAGTAGCTAGTCCTGACCAGGTCTTTGTTATCCCTCTGTCTTGATTAGAATTATTGGGCTACAAGAAAAGGAGTCCATTCAATCCGGTTTCAGTAAAATGGATGGGGCAGAAGGATACAGGGAGTCTCTCAAAACCAGCGGCAGAAAGTAAAGCTAGGCTTTGTGGAAATCTGAAAGTCATTCATTTATTTAGAAATTTTTAAAAAGCACCAACTTTGTGCCAGGTACAGTTCCTGCACTGGATAACAATAGTCAACAAAATAGGTCAGTTTCCTCGATCAGTTCGGAGTGCTTAAACAGACAGAGGTTTCTTTCTCTCTCAAAGTGAGAAGTCCAGTGCTGGCATGATAGTTTGCAGTTACCATTAAGAGGCCAGTGTGGTGGCTCTCACCTGTAATCCCAGCATTTTGGGAGGCCCAGGCACAAGGATTGCTTGAGGCAAGGAGTTCGAGATCAGCCTGGGCAACATAGCAAGACCTGGTCTCTACAAAAACATTTTTTTTTAATTAGCCAGGCACAGTGGCTCATGCCTATAATCCTAGCTACTTGGGAGGCTGAGGCAGGAGGATCTCTTGAGCCCAGGAGTTCAAGGTTGCAGTGAGCTACGATTAGTTGTGCCACTGCACTCCAGCCTGGGTGACAGACCAAGAACCCTGTCTCAAAAAAAAACAAAAAAAGATACCATTAACAATCCAAATATCTTTTCCACATTTTTGTTGCACCAAGCTTTGCAGCTTAGACCTTCACACTCATTTTGGTTGCCTCGTGGTCACAGGAAAGTGGCTGCCCCTCCGTGAAGCACATCTTAGTTCCAGGCAAGAGAGGGGAGGAAAGGTGAAAGAGTGGAGGATTTTCTCCTGGCAAGTCTTTGGCTTTTTATTGGAGAAAGTACGCCTTTCACAGACTTCTGGCTATTTCTCAGAATGTGTCGGATGGCCACTCCTAGTTGCAAAGGAGGCTGGGAAATTGAGTATGTTAGCATTCCAGCCTCTCTTGTAGAAAATGGCAAAGGAGGAGGGTGTAAATGCAGATGTGGTAGCCATGCCATCTGCCAGAGGACACCTGCCCTCCTGGAGTTTGTATTTTGCCACCTAGCAAGTTCTCCCCTGCACCTTTTCCTTCTCTAGTGCTCCGTCCTCTCTCTCTCAGTTTTTGAGTGTCACACCTTGTCTCTGTGTGTCCTCCCTGTGCAGTTCCCTGCAAGCCTCTCATTTCTGATACTGAGGACTTCAGCACGTCCTTATCAGTCACCTCTTCTTTATCTCGTCTCCAGTAACTGCTGCTCTCTCTGCCCTACCTCAGTCCCTTCATGGAATTGCCTCCTCCTCCTTTACCCTCCCCCTTGACACACTATTAACACCAGGTGGCTTTTGTCACACACTTGTCTTTTTTAACTGAGGCTTTGGGAGGCAAACCTTTGCAGGGCCTGGTGCAAGAGTACAAATGGAGGCTGTCCTATCAAATATATGTAACTATTTAAACTCTGTAGATCAAGCTAGCAGCCCATTCAATTTATTGAGTCCTCCTGCCTTGACGGATATACTTTCTTAACAACCTGAAAGGCTATTAAAGTCAAATTAAGAATCAGGGTTCCATGAGAGAACCTGACTCCTTGTCTTTCCACCTGAATCCGCTTCCTCACTTTTTCCAGCTTCTAGAGGCTGCCCACATTCTTTGGCTCACGGTCCCAAATCCCTCCAGCCTCTCCTTCCATGGACACATCTCTCACTGACCCTCCTGCCTCCCTCTTATAAGGAAGCTTGTGATGACACTGGGCCCACCCAGATAATCCAGGATCATCTCCCATCTCAAGATCCTTAATTTACATCACATCTGCAGAGTCTCTTTTGTGATCTACGGTAACATATTCCCAGGTTCCAGGTATTAGGGTGTGGATGTCTTTGACGGGGGCCATTAGTCTGTCCACCACAGATTCCCAGAGCATAATCTCCAAGGGAGGTGTGGATTCTGGGTGGGCACAACCCCTTCGCCCCAGCAACCCCTCTCCTTGTAGAAGGTGGGAGGCAGGTCTCAAAAAACGGGGCCCAGAATAGCAAGGCGGAGGTCTAAGGTGGGTATTGAATTTGAAGAATCACAGAGGTGTTAGGATACAGCATAGAACAGAAAAAATTTTTTTACATTTTACATTCATCCGTTCGTTCATGCTTTCAAGTATTTCTCCAGTGCCTTTGATGTGTTAGGCTCCGTGCCAAATGCCTTAAGTCCCCGTTTACTTGAAGCTTCCATTCCAATGGGGGCGGGGGGGGGGGGGGGGACACAGATGTTACCAATACCATCCCTTAAAGTGTCTCCGAACTTAAGCATCGCGCCACAGGGGGTTTCTCCCTGGCCTGCTTTTCCCTCCAGCTCTGCTTGCTTCCAGCTTGCGTCCCATCTGCTTCCCTTTTCTCTGGAGAGCGTTTTCCTGCATGTCCGTCCACATGGAATGCTGGGGGTTCTGGGGACCCCGTGGCCTGGGAGCGCCTAACAGTGTCCTGGGGGTGTCTAACAGCAGTGGTTTTAGAACCACATGATCCCGGGTTTGAAGGGGAGCTACAGCCCTTGCTTCCTGTGGATCCTGGAGTCAGTCAGTCCAGCTCCTGAGCTTTCAGTTCCGCCTCCATAACAGGGGTCCGCAGTCCCTGCCGTTCATCACGTGGCTCTGGAAACGGGTTCAACCTCACGCCCCCACATAGCGAGAATTCTATTGGTCCGGCCGGGGTCAGGTGTCCTCGCCAGGGCCAATCAGCAGTGGCCAGGGTGGAACCTGGTCAGGTGGTTCACCCGGCTGAAGGGCTCCTGCCGGCGCGTTCATTTCCAGAACTCTCTTCCTCCACCGGCCTCCTGCCCTTTCTTCAGCCCCAAGATTGCTGGGCCCCTCAGCTCACTTCCCAGGGCTCCTCCACCCCAAATTCTCCTTTCCCCTCTCATTAAACGATTTGTTTGCGTAACACTGTTTATTGTTAAAGTTACGATCTCTCCCTCCCCTTCCTTGGTGTCAGTGTTTGAGGCGTTTCCTTCCCGCCTTTTTTCTAGAGCAGAGCTGGGGAACGGCATATGTTATTTCTGATATTCTAGTAGCTACAGGAAAGAAACAGGTCATATTAATTTTCAAAATCTACTTAGGTACTCGAATATTTACAAAATGTTGTTTCGACACATAATCAATATAGAAGATGTTTTACTTTTTTATTGGTACGTTTTTTTGCGGAGGGGGGGCAAGTGCTGAATAACCTCATGTGGCTTGTAGCTGTCACATTGGACAATGTAAATCTAGAGCTCTCTTTTTGTCTTTTTTTGTTGTTATTTTCCTTCCCCTCCTGACCTTTTTCTTTCTTCTCTTCTTCTTCCTCCTCTTCTTCTTACCTGCATTTCTTCCCCATCCTCAT